CACACACACACACACACACACACACACATATATATATATATATATATATATATATATATATATATATATATATATATATATATATATATATATATACATATACATATATATATATATGTACATATATATATATATATACATGGAATGACACCGAACTCTAACGAATAGCGGTAATTTTGTAAGCAATAGTTTACACACGCCAGGAACAACCAAATAGAAACACATAAATGATCGATGTTCGGTCGGAGGGTATGTACAATCATACGATCGTTTACGATTACACATAACTAAATAGCCTTCAGAAATCACGACAGGACCTGCAGATGGTGTGCGAAATAGCAACGCAATACAACCACCGACTAGTGCACACAACAAATCAGCTTAGACGTTACCTAAAGAGATGAACGGGTTTTCGCTCACAACGCGATATGTTTTCTCGCCAATTGTTTCTTTTCGCCCCATTTTGTGTTATATTCTGTTGCAACGATCGCTATGCGATTAGGAGTGAGATTCACTTCGTTGTTTGTAGTGATGTGCTTTTGTGCTCAGTTGTACTAAGCTCAAGAAGTTGCTACTTGTTGAAGGCTGTGCGCGCTAGTCCCCTAATAGCTGAAAAGGATTAAACCAGCTACAATTAATATCAACACAGAGAATCAACTACCGGCTTACGCTGGGTTTCTACTTACTAATACCAATGAGTAAGAAATAACAGTCACAAATCACTATTTATATATATATATAAATAGGCAACATTACATAATACTTTAGTAATCTCACAGAATCATCAGATTATGTGGGGAATAGTTTCTCCCCCCCTGTTGTTCTAATCTCAAGGCCCTACGACTATGGCTCAGGGTGCATCTTCAAAACCCAGAGGTGCAGTATACCCGTGAAGTGTTTCTTAGAGTGTCCGTTTAACTCGAACAACAGGTCGATGTTGTTTATTCTTTTGACTCGTATAAACGTTGTAAAGTAAACTTATCGAATGAATACTTTCCGGGTACCAATTATAATGCACCATTTTAACGGATTGAGGATTCGAGGGTGGCAGGCTGGCAGCGAGTGTCAACTGTCATCATGACATTTGCTATGGGCTGATTGGGTCGTTGGCTCATTGGACCTTCTTGAATGTTAAAGCGTTTAAACCTTAAAAAGTTTTTCAAATACGTTTAAAGGCTTCAATAGTTACTATTTACAGTGAGGTTCAATTGTTCATCGTCCGTGATCCGTATTTATGTATTTTTTCAAATGGCTTGATTGGGTCATTGACTCATTGGACATCAAATGCGCTCGTGACAGTTCAATCGAAAATCCAAGAGATTTCAGATTGTTTTACAATAAATATAGAGATTTTTAAAATATAACCAATACGGGAACATTGCTTTCAGGCAATCGGATGTTCATTCAGAATGCTATGAGGTCACACGATTCATATCACAATATTGTTCTTTGTTTCTACAATGAGTCAATGTCAGCAATTTAAAAATACATAAACTACGCACACACACTCCCAGGCACAGTGTCCCACATACCCACACAGGCTATGGGCATAGTTGCGTAGTGCGTATGTTTCAGTGTTTGGTCATCTCATATACATTTGTGACGTCTGAAGGGTGACTCGACTGTCATATACCGGTTTAATAGTTATTCATGAGCTAGCGGGATCTAACCGTGACACCCATATTTACTATCGGAACTAATCACGACTATGTAGAAGTGATCCAGAATCAGCAGTCGTTTGGATTTTGTTTTTGTTCGTTCTGTGTCGCTATATATAGTTGTAGTGATATTTATTTTCAAATCCTCAACTTACGATGATTTACTGGCCAATGCTGGGGACAAGATAAAGCCTCTAAGTGGTATATCATTAGCCACATATAAAGTATGATATGTACATATGTTTGCAACCTCGCACTCGGTCCTGGAGATTATCATGGAGACATGGACTGATTGTTTCTGATGTTGTTGGTAACAGCAGTGTCACTATACTCTCTGGAAAAAGCCTGTGGCCATGCGTAAAACCATTCCCAAATAAATTTCATTGCGCCGATTTTCCTCATAGTTGAGTTTTTTTTATGACTCAACAAAAAGATAAAAATATTCGAAGTGGACAAAAGCGAAGTGCCTGACTCGATATATAGAAGATTCACGAATGAGTGGTATTTATGTACAGTATGCGTCTATGCGATTCGATTATGTGATATTAGCACATAGTTTGTTTGTGACACAATACGATGAGAGTACCGGATGTTCAGTTGTTCAATGTTCACGCTCATTATAATCACGGTATAATAAATAACAGCAACAGAATGCAACTTTTACAAAACAAAACAAAACATATGTACAAAAATAACAAACACAGTCACACAAACCAGAGAAAAAAATGTATGGACACAAAATTGAAAATATAGAGTGGATATTGGATAAACCAAGAAACCATGACCCTCGGCCTCGGGCCTCTTCTACTACAGAGAAGAAATAAATAAAAAATAGTATGCCTGATCGAACTATTGTCCGAAGAACAAACAGGCCGGATAATTAACTCATTTACTGGTGTGGTACATTTGGGTATCACATAAGCCAGTGTTTCCTGTATTCTGATTGGTTTTAGAATAATCAATATGAGTTTGACTTGATATTTATTTACATATTTACATATAGGATTCCAACTTCCACACCCCGATCCAGTATTATTTTCAGTAGTTATCCATGTGAAGGATGGCTCGGGGTGGCCTGAGGGCGCGTGCGGTCAAGGTGACCTTCCTGTGTGTGTTTCTGTGGTTCATATACTCACAAGCACACTCCAAACACTCTGTAGTAGACGGAGTCCTACTCTTTCTTCAAGGTGGTCTCAGACGGACCGATGATGGAGGATTATCGGCCCAGATAGGCCCAGAACCCGTGTTGCATGCACCGGCGGACGGTCCTCCGGAGTTGTATATGGAGTACAACGAGTCGACAGGTGGTGTCATGCGAAAGCAGTTCGAAAGCTTGCTGTCGAAATCAATTCTTCGTCACGGATTGGAGAGTACTTCTGCGCTCGACAGGAGCTTAGAGCGTAACAACTACATTGTGGATACTGCCTCACGCGTAGACTTGATAGATAGTTCCCAGCCGTCTGGCAGCATAACCTTAGTCAGCGGACTGTGGGACTTGGGCAGGGGAGAGCTTTCTGAATCCCGGAAAAGATCGTCGGATTTCCACCGAGACTTCAAGGAGTATACAGACGGCTTGAAAGCTACTTTCCTCGCCAATCCGGGATATAAGGTGCTTTTCCTGGACTCCAAACTCGAAGCAGAGCTGCGCCCGTATGTAAGGGATCCTAAGAACAACGTGAAGAACCTCAAGTTGGTGGTTATTGATATTCCGCAGATTGTCGCATGGTTTGGTGCAGAGACATACGCCCAGAAGGACGCAATCAGGACAGATCCCGAGTGGAGTGATGTGTACGGTCCCACGGGCTGGCTGGCCTTAAGTCCTCAGGCGAAACTCAAGGACTACAACACCATAGTCATGTACAAGATCAATCTTCTGCGCATGGCCGCACGAGCCAATCCGTGGAATACGGAGGCGTTCTTGTTTATTGATTCCAGACATGCGTGCCACGATCCCGGCTACTTTGTCGACGAGAACATGGGCTTTTTAAGGCAGAACATGGACTCTATGTTGGTCACCCACTTCAACTACAAAGCCATCAAGGAGACGCACGGATTTAAAGCCGGTCACTTCATGGAGTGGTTAGGTCTACCAGAGAGGTCTACCCACAAGGTGGTGCGTGGAGGTATATTCGGGGGCAAGCGCTCGTCGATTGAAGCTGTGGCTGTGGTGTATGAAAATATCCTCAGACAGACACTGGCCGATGGGGTTATGGGGACTGAAGAGAATCTGTTCTCTATCATACTGTATCGACATCCGGCATTGATGCACGGATTCAACAACGATAACGCCTGCTATGAATCTGTCAACCACGACCACTCGTGCGAAGGGTTTGTGAACAGGGCAAACTTCTGCTCCATCTTTGATTTTGTCAACAGTGGTGTTATCCACCGCGACGGTACGACACGAACACGGGTGTATAAGAACTGAATGTCTTCTGAGAGATTGTAATTGATATATATATATATATTTGTATGTATGTATATATGTATGTATGTATGTATGTTTGTATGTATGTATATATGTAAATGTATGTATATATATAAGTATATATATATATATATATATATACATTATATTATAATATATATATATATATGTATATATATATATGTATGTATGTATATATATATATATATATATATAAATATATATATATATATG